CATCTTACTTAATTATCATGCTGTTGATCTGATATACCAGTCCTTCTGTCACATTGTATTATATTCATTGTTTTGTTAGATTTAGGTGTGAAAAAGTTTTGTTATTGTCACTCTATGTGTTGGACTTTGAAACTTGGCTACAATTACCTCAAATTTGTGAAACTAAGCTATGATTACTGTATGCCACTTTCGATAGAGTCGCTTACAAAATAAATAAGGAAAAAAGTATTTAAAACAAGCCTGATAAAAAAATATTTGACGTGTTCTCCATTACCATTTGTTTGGCTCTTAACAGAAAGATTAATTTATAACCAATCTTGTACAGTCCATGCCTGAATGTGTGTGTGTTACTGAGCAAAACTAGGGATTTTGATGGATCTCCTACCATCCATAGCTCTGTAACCTTGTGCTGAAATTGTCACGCCCTCATCCCACCACGTTCCAACATGGTACTGTAGCGCACTCGTGCGAATCACACTCCAGCCCCGAGCACTTCTGCCAAACGACACCGCTCCTGCCAATCAGCCATCATTCAGCGCACCTTCCTCCTCTCACAACACTTAAACCCTCCAGAGGCCTCAGCTCTTGGCCTGGTATTGGTTGTTCTTTGGAGTGCCTACAGTACCTTCCCTTTGTTTTCTGAACTGGCTCTTGACTTTTCTTGATATGAACCATGGAACTTGCCTTTGACCAGGTCTCTTGTCTAGCCCTCGTTTACTTTGGAAGCTACCTTCTTGCCTCTTGACTCCCTGAGGTACTACATAGGGTCCATCCTCCCGTTTGCACAGGGGGTCATGCGTAACAGAAATGGTTCATAATCGAATGAACAGCAGAGGATTTGTATAAAAATGTCTAAGGCTTTAGTTCTGTGGAAAAGGTTTCTATAGTCTACTTCAGAGGGGGCAGACTCAGTTTCTGGAGGGATTAGTGTCCTCTGGATTTTTCCCAAATTGAGCTCTCAATTACATTGTGGGTCTAATTATTTAACCAGATGTGTTATAGTGTAGCACTCTACTTGTTACTTAGCTCTGAGATGTTTTAAAACAAACTGCTGTACCTTTAGTGAAGTGAGTTCTTTGAGTCATCAGCTTTAAAAGCCCTTAAGTAACATCTTGTTTATGTCTGACTAAGAAAACAATTTGTCAGATTGTTTATTTGACATTGTTTGTTATTTAGCAGACACAAGGCTGACTAGGAAGGTAGTTTCAAACCCCTGGTGGAGTGCCTCTCATTTCCACTGCTGCGAAGGACAGACAAGGGTTTTGTGGCAATAGATCCAGCAAGCCAATGACAGGGAACTGAGCGGAAAATCACTTGGGTTGACCGATTTTTCCAGTGGGAAAGGGTCAATTCGGGGCTGGGCAGAAGGCTCGTTAATCAAAAGGAAAGGTGACAACTTGGTGCCGATGAGCTTGCCCGTGCTTTGTGTGTTTCAAGTCGTGGGGCTGTCGGTCTATACCTGCGAGCACCTGGCACAGGCCAGTGAAGTAGAACAGGTCCCCTTTGTTGAGTGTGAAGAGCTGCCCTAGGAAGACGAGGAAGGAAATGAAGCAGAAGATGACGGAGAGAACCATCAGGGCCTGGACAGCCTGCAGCCAGTCTGGGAGAGAAGAAGCAGCAGATGAGTAACAACAAGGCCCACAGAGAGAATGGCCACATCCATCCACCTGTCATCAGAAAACTGCTTATTCCTGTGAGAATGCCACAGCCCAGTGTCTATCCCAAGTCATAAGATCGCCGGGTCTGTAAATGTAATATGCTACCCATCTAGGGTATGGAACTGACATTTGCATGGTGCACAACATGACCACAAAGGCACACAGATAAGAGAAACATCTGTTACCCTGGAAAGCATGTGTCTGGAGGGTGGGAGAAAAAGTTAGCGCTTGATCATTGCCTATGCAAAAACAGAACATGCATGCTCCACCCAGACAGCACCCCCAAGTGAAGAAATAATGCCTCAGACCAGTTGAGGTAACTCTTGCTATGATGTGAATCAAAGTCCATTTTGAACAGCTACAAAAAGGTAAGTTTCAACAAAAAGTATTTAATTTAATAAATGCCTGAATAAGGTTGTTTTAGGTGCAGTGCTGTATTTATTACTTAAATTGCCCATGAATTTACTGTTATACTTCCTGTTCAACTGCTCTGATTGAGAAGCAAACCTCTGTTAGGACTACCATCAGGCCAGAGGCAAGGTCCTGCCAAAGACTAAGATCTGTGGACATCAGCTCTTGACAACCTTACAATTAAGGATGACCGAGATGAATATGGGCATATTTACCATTGTCTCCAGTAGAGAAACACACCCAAGATCCAGTAGTATTATCAAACTCGCAGTTGTACCACAGATCAGAGTTCTCTACATCTGTCAAGACCCACCAAGCCTGAGTGGACAGAGAAGGAGAGAGACTTACACAAAGTTTTCACAGCCATGAGGAGTCAATACAAAGTCTAGAAAACAAAATATTATAAAATCCAAGCACCATTGGTTGAGCTATTTGTACTGCTACATACTCATGGCTCCAGTATTTCACCTCCTTAACTGTCATTGCTGTGTTGCAATTTGACTTCACTGTATAATTTATTGCATCAGTGTAATACACACTCCATCTGTATTGTTTTCAACCCTTTCTGTGTAATACTGTTCCCTTCAACTTGCTAAAGAAAATGTGTGGTTGAGTGTAGATCTGCTTTGAGAAAGCCATGATAATAAATTATTTTTAGAGCACCTTTCATACAAACAGTAGCTCAAAGTGCTTTACAAACCAAGTGCAAAAAATTAAATATTAAAATTAAGAGACATACTTTCATTTGTAAAGGAAAACAACAAATGTCCATTTATGCTTGAAAAAGAAAGAAATAAAAAATTAAGAAGGTCATAATAAAATAAGAACAATAAAAGGTAAGTAGAAAGAACAAAGAACCATTTTAACTAAAAGCTAAATTAAAAATGTTTTTTAAAAGAATGTACCGGGCTTGACTACCTAATAAAAAGTGGTAGTGTGTTCCATAATTTAGGAGCACAAAAACAGAAAGAGGCCTCTCCACTCTTTCTGTTTTTGACACGTGGTATGTGCAGATCTACGGTCACGTATAGGAACATATAAAGACAGACATTCAGTAAGGTACTAGGGCGCTAAGCTGTTTAAGGCTTTAAAAACAAGTAAAACAACTTTAAAATCTATCCTAGATAATACAGGTAACCAGTGAAGTTCTTTCAAAACAGGGGTGATACGTGTTCTCTTTCTTGTTTTTGTTTATAAAATGTAAAAAAGCAAACTACAGCTTTACACCGCATGAAGGTTTATCACAGTGAACAGGAATGGCATGCTTGTAATTTATCCATGCTTATTGGTGCTTTTAATTTGCTTTATCACACTTCCTCTATCTTGCTGTGCTTTACTTCATTTTACCAGGCTTTTCTACAGTTTTCCCTGCTTTTATTATAAAGCCCCACACTTACATTTTGTAACTCTAATATCTTGGGGTCTGTAGATTTTAACTGGCCTGTAACACTCCCCTGACCTCTCAGGGTGCAGTCTCACCTTCTCCATGGTGGCTATGAAGAGCATGGTCAGGGTGATGAGATGCAGCAGAGTCACAGAGATCAACAGGACAGCCATTGGAACACCAGCTCTGTCTCTCCCAAGTCACAGGCAGCAGGACCTAGAGGCAAACACAGAGCCATGATTGGCATTGCTGAGTTACGGCACTCGGTGCCTGGGCAACACTTCGCGACATGGGGACAGAAGATGGTATGAAAGTGCAGTTGTAGTAAGAGTAATAGTTGCAGATCTGTAAACTAGTTTATAAGGTCATGTGTGAGCTCCCAGACAGCTCAGCCAGGATCAGCGGTGCTCATCCTGAGCTCACACTGAGCCCTGCTGGAGTCCAGGTTACCAGGCATGTCACCAGGACTCTGAAAGTGTGAATAAGGGTCTGGGTTCTGCTTGGGGAAGGTGGGCTCAAGTGAGCAAACCTTTCTGTCAGTTGCTCTGCAGCAGGGACTCCTGTATCCCGCTGGTGCCTGTGAGCTTGCAGTGATGTCAGTGACCACCAGATGGTGCTCATTCTCCTGTAAAGCTCTGTGGAGCTTGCATTTTGTCAAAGAATTAACATCTTTGACAGGGTTTGTCAGTGTGGCATCTGCACAAGTCTTTCTTGTCTTGTCCTCTCTTTACAGCACAGATTTCTGTAGTGGTACCAGTTTTGGGGGTAGAAAGCTAAACAATTAGTGCCAGCAAAGTGAAAACATATAACAGAATCAGAATCGTGACCAGGTCTAGTGCAAGTGTTCATATTACTTCTATCCTGGAGTCCTTGCACTGGCTTCTGATCAAATTCTGTGTAGACTTTCAAATCCGCATGCTCACCTGTAAGGCTCTGCATGGCTTGGCACCTCAGTACCTGTCTGAACTATTATCGCCCTACTCCCCACCTCGCAACCTTCGCTCTTCTAATTCTGCTCTCCTTACTGTCCCCCAAGCCCGTCTACATTGTATGGGTGACAGGGCCTTCTCCTGTTATGCCCCCAAGCTCTGGAACTCTCTCCCCAAGGATATCGGAGAGTCACCTTCTCTAAACTCCTTCAAATCCAGACTCAAAGCCCTCTTCTTCAGAAAAGCCTTTACTGAACTGGTTCCATTCTTCACCCCTCTGCTCTTCTTAGTACCACCATCCACGGTCTCCTCTATATATTGTAATTGTGTTTTATCTTGTGTATTCTTCTTATCTATTGTTGTTGTCATCCTGTAAAGCGCTTTGAGATGCCACCTTTAAAGGCGCTATATAAAACAGTTTTTTATTATTATTATAACTGCATTATGCTTATGTAAGGAACAGAGCATTCTATAATGCTGTGACTTGGCAGTTATAGTACCTTCAACACAATGTCAAATTGTATGGATAGGAGACAATGATAACTCACAGCAGTCTCTGAATATTTCTTCCAGAATTAAGCTCAGACATTTTCATTGTGCTGTTGCGTAAGTGTACAGTACAGGCCAAGTTCTTTTGATTAATAACTCAATACTTTGTTGTGTGAAGTGGCAGAGCTTAGCTAGCACTGTTCTTGTTGGAAAGCCAAGGGAATTTTCTAAATAATACCACAGCACTTCTGTAAAAGCACAGCGAGATTAATTTATTTAACACTCTACTCCAGTCCCCACTCTTTCGTTTAAGAAAAATAAGTACCTGCTTTTAAATGAAAAGGGCACGTTGTTCTGTCTGGGAGATATCAGCAATCATTTTTACATTCTTTGGCTGTCTGGTAGGGAATATTTGTGATTCCATCTGCTTTCAATTCCTGCAGCCTTAACTTTGCATTCGGAAGACATCTGACCACATGATTTCCGTGGACAAAATTTGTCTGACCATGTCTCAGGACCCGTTTTCATGACTGACAGCTAATCTGTTAGCATGACTGACTGCCAGAAGAAGATCCATCCATCCAATTTCTAACCACTTTATTCAATTCAGGGTCGTAGGGGGAGCTAAAGCCTATCCCAGCAAGCAACAGGATCAAGGCAGGGTACACCGTGGACAGGATGCCAGTACATCACAGGGCTACACCGATACACACGCACCAGGGCCAATTTTCCCAGAAGCCCATTTTCCTACCTGATTGTTTTTGGACAGTGAGAGGAAGCAGGAGCACCCGGAGGAAGTCCATGCAAACACAGGGAGAACATACAAACTCCACACAGACAGCACCAAAGGTCTGGACCTGAACCCAGGATCCCAGCACTGCAAGGCAGCAATGCTAACCACTGCAACACCCTGCCACCCCACCGAAGAAGATGTTCACCAGAAATGCTAATTGTCAATTTACATTTACCTTCATTTAAAAAAGAACAAAACAAAGAGCACATCTCTATTCTGATTCTGGCTGGGCTCAAAATAGTATAACTGCAAAAAGATATGTATGGTAGAGCTTCAGGAAATAATCAAGTCTGAATTTTTTGCCTGCTTTAATAGCAGTCAAACAACATCCTATATCACCAGATCAAGCAGCAGATAAGGAATCCAGAACCCAAAGATGGGCTGAACTAGAAGAAAGTGTCCATTAATTTCGGTCTCCAAGGTTTCCAACTGACTAATGCCTAATATCTACTCTCTAACACAATTATTATGTGCGTATAAGAAGATATAAGGCATATCAGCTTCATTATCCACTCCACCACCACCAATGTGTAGCGGCATCCACAGAACGCTCACTACACATCAGCTATCAGTGGGAAGAAGCGCAGAGTAATGAAGCCAATTCAGAGATGGGGATCATTAGGAGGCCATGATTGTTAAGGGCCAATGGGAAATTTGGCCAGGATGCCAGGGTTACACCCCTACGCTTTTCAAGAAACGCCCTGGGATTTTTAATGACCAAGGAGAAACAGGACCTGTGTTTCACGTCTCATTCGAAGGACAGAGCCTTTTTTACAGTATAGCGTCCCTGTCACTATACTGGGGCATTAGGACCCAAACAGCCTGCAGGATAAGTGCCCACTACTGGCCCCACTAACACCTCTTCCAGCAGCAACCTCAGCTTTTCCCGGAGGTATGTCCATACTTTCGGATCCAGTGGTCAGAGCTATCCTATGGTCTAGGAGCTGCAGCAGTTGCATCAGGTTTTCTGTGCTCTTGTTTGAAAATGGGTTTTATTTTGGTAACCAATCTTTATTTTATTCTATTAAGTTGCCAATAGCTATGAAAATATTTTGAGGTGTAAAGGATATATTTATGAGGTACTGTTTATCTCAGAAATTGGATTTTCAAAAGACTCGTTGCAAGGGCTCACAAAGGAAATTTTTTTATGTTCACACCTGCATTAAATTGTCTCATTCTGCTGCACACCCTCTGTAGTGCAAATAGGCAAAGGATGCCAATTGCCTTAACTCTTTCAAGTGCAGTGATTGCCCTGCTTTCTAATCATGGCAGCAAGGACAATGACTGTTTGATGAGCACTCAACAAGAGGAAGCATGATAAAAATAGACAGAACAGGATGACATCAAGGTTATAAGAGTTGTAAAAAAAAGATCATTCAAAACAAAGTCTGGAGAAAATAATGGAAAAGTAACATTGCCAAGATTACATTTGGCAGATTGGAAAGGAGTACACTTGGTGTAGTTGAACTGAATTGTCTTTTATACCTAAAACTATTGCACTGTTTTGAAACTTGTTCAACTCCTCAATAATTTACCAGAGGTTTCAAAGCAGAGCTGCCAAAGAGCAAAAGGGAAATGAATGAAAGGATGCCTCTAAACTCTGCAGGTACTACACATAGTAATCAGAGAAATACAATGTTGAAGTCGCATTCGCTGGTCCTCTCGTGTATCAAAATCTTGAATTTGGCAGCAGCTTGCAGAGCTGTGTTTGAGTGCGTAGCGGAAATGCTGACATGTTTAGAATGATAAGCTGACAAGCTACACTTGAGCTTTTTTGATTTTGTTTTTTCTCAGGGTATTATTTAGAAAATGTGTTTAACTACTTTTAGCTATATGTCGTTTAAGGGCATTTTTACTGTCAAAGAATTCATGCTACAGTATATCATTTCTGATGGTTTTGGTGTGGACTGTAGTTATAGAGACAGAAAGCTTTGATTTAGTTCACAAAGAATGTAAAATGAAGGGCAGCCCACAGTGCCATGGTAGTACAGTGGTTAGCACTGATGCATCACAGCCCTGGGGGCCTGGGTTCAACTCCTGGGGTGCTGTCTGTGTGGAGTTAGCATGTTCTCCCTGTGTTCCTGTGGGTTTCCTAACACAGTCCAAAGACATAGTGGTGGGTTAATTGGCTTCTGGATGTCACAGGAGCCAGGTCGGTCTCTTGTGGAGTGTGCAAATAAGTGTCATGATCATCATCCCTCCTCTAAAGGGCATTTCTGACCCTTTTTGTATTTTAATTTCATATCACGTTCACCTGCCCCTTGTTCCCTGTATATTATTTAAACTTCGTGCCTCTGAAGACTGGGGCTCTGCATTGGAAGATGGACGCCCCAAGGCTCGCCTAGCATCAAGTTGCCCCACGTCCGCGGCTTGTGGGCACAGGCTTCAGAACGGCGCCCTGACCAGCTGAGTTCAGGGCTCGGAGCGACTGGCCTCGTTACCCTTCTTTTAAACTTTCTTGTTCCTGGTTCCATGTCCCCATTCCCTGATTTTCTTCATGTCGTCTCTGGATGGATCTCCTGGTTTTAGATCATGGACTGCGCCCCAGTTTTCCTATTTGGACTGTTTTGGACTCGTTTGCCTGTGCTCCCCCCTTGCCCCTTACCGTGTTTTTCCTGTACCCATTCTCCAGTCTCTTTCCAGATTAAACTGTCTGCATAGGGTCCTAAATACACAATACACGGGAGTCAGGACAGGCTCCTGTTACATTAAGACTTGAGACAGACATCAGGGGAAAACACAGCAGGGTTAATCTGGGTTGACAGACAGGGGGCAGTGACAGCAGTGATCTGGTGCACGAGGGGAAACCAAGTCCAGGTAGGTCCAAAGGGGTAGTCAGGGCGCAGTCTGTAATCGAAGAGCCGGGAGATCCATTCAAGACAAAGACCATTAAAATCCAGGGAATGGGGGAACAAGGACAGGAACACGGAAGATAAAACCATTACTGGACCAGGCGCGCTGAGCCCCAGGCACAGAGCTCAGGATGTCGGGATGAAAGCCTAAGCCCTCAGGCTATCTCCAAGCCTGGTGCTGGACGGGCTTTCGGACGTCCATCTTGCAGAGACGCAGGGCTTATATAATGCAGAAGGGGATAGACACAGCTGGGAGTACTAAAACTAAAATCAATAGCAAAAAGCTAGGAGCACCCTCTAGAGGAGGGATGATAACCATGACACTGGGGAATTTGGCCCTGGTGTGAGTCTGCTGTATTTGTCTGTCTGCCCTACAATAGACTGCATCCTGTCCAGGGTGTTTTCCCCTATGCACCCAGAGCTTCTGGGATAGACTCTGGGACATCGTGACCCTGATTCGGATAAGTGCTTATTGAAAGTGATTTGATCATGTCCAAGAAAAACATTGGTTGCAACAAGCTGGTTTGAATGTGATCCCGGTTCTGTCTATTGTGCAGGTTTAACTAAATGACTGTCGCACAACAGATGGTCCGGAAGAGTTGCTTCATAGCTCCTGAGATCTGGGTTTAAATCTGGCTCTGTCTGTGTGGAGTTTGCATGTTCTCCTCAGGTTTTATGAGGTATTCCTGGGGTATTTGTGGGTATCCCTGTTTCTCTCACAGTTCAAAGACATGATTTTCTAGTGGCGTTTCTGATTTGCTCACCTGCAATGGAGCAAATGATTTGCAATGGACTGGTGTCCATCCAGGGTGCCAGACACACCTTATGCCCTGTCCCCCTCACCGTGACCCACTTAAGCAGGGGATCCTAATTTTGCTCCTGGGGTACCACTGTATTTTCAGCTTTTTGTTCTAGTTGAGATGGTATTCGCAGGTTAAATGATTGCAGTTTCTGAAGCTTACCTCTATAATTGTGTTCAGTACCTACAATGTTAGGCTTGTGAATGTAATTAATCAATTACAGTGAATGAGACTGGGAATATGTAAACACCATCAACCCTAATTGGGCTGGTTTCTGATGATCAGATTTCCCCTGATTCAGGCAAGTTACCTGAAATGTATCCAGTTGGACTACTGGAGAAGTGGAGAAACAAACGTGGATTTTGGGACTGTCAAAATTGTCATTCCCAACTTAAGTATGTCTGTTCATCACAAATTGATTATCTTTAGTCAGAATTAATTCCAGGAGCAATCGTTTCGAAGCAAGTAGAAAAATGACCACTGAAAGACCTGCATGTTGAGAAGCTATAAGCGATATGATTTTCCAAAAGTTTAACAGGTTTAACACACATCTGTTAAATGAAGTTGAACTAGGTAACTGTGTCAGCTTGCGTAGGCTGCAAAGAAACAAGTAAGGGTTTATTCTATGCTGAAAAGAGAAGAAAAGGAACACAACGTTTCGGGTGTGGAGCCTTCTTCTTCACACTCCCGAAGAAGGCTCCACAGTTGAAACTGTGTGTTTCTTTTCTTCTCTTTTCAGCATAGAATAAACCCTTACTTGTTCCTTTAAAGTGAGCAATTATCCCCAGTAATTAAAGAGGTCAACTGGAATTAACACCAGCAGACACAGTGATCCATTATAACCAGGACTGGGATTCCCTTCCTAAGAATAAAATGATTTTCAAAATTAGACTGAATGGAGTTCTCCACAAAACCTACTGTCCTTTCAGAAGCTGTTGGTACTATTCCGTACTGTAGGTTAACTAAACCTGTTTGCAGTATATATGTGAAGTAGACGCATACTGTACATCCCCCATCACAAAACCTAAAATTTCATAGTTAGATATGTCACATTCCAGACCTATGACTCCTGCAGAGGTTTTCCTCAGTTATGTACAGCGCCAAGTGATAAACACAGGGGATTTGTTAATTTTTTGAATGATACCTAGTGTTACCACTTAGGTATATCAAAATGATACAATGCACAGGAGTTCAGACATTCAGGAAAAAAATCACTAGCAGATCCCCTGTTGTCTTGTGAAATGGGGTGAAGGCACAAAAACCTTCTAAACAACCTTGCTAGTTTTAAGAGATCCCTCAGCCACACACGTACACACCCAGAAACACACATACTACAATACACACGATAATTCTTCCACGAGCAAGTACAGAATGCAGACTCATGACAGAGGCTCTGGAGTCATTCGAAGAAATTAAAAATCAGAAAGGAAAAAATTGATAAAAAATGTTGGAAATGAAAATCCTGGAAGATACCTTCATCTAGAAGTGGATTGATAATGACTGGAAATGAGGATGATGTTGATGATTATGATGAAGATGTAAATGACCATTGATGTGATCTCCTAAAACTAGGCTTTGTGGGGTTATTTCTCCTATTCAATCGATAATATTACTGACTTCTTCCTAAATTACAGACCTTGAAAATCCCTACAGTCTCCACTTTCCCTGAGTTTTGAAGACGCATGCATGAAGAAGACTTCCACATTCAATAACTGCAGATTTAATCCTGAGGCACCTGATTTGGGGACAGAGCATCACACAGATACACAATTTCTCCATTCATCTTTCTCACATTGCTGCCATTCAACAAGACCAGGCACATACAGGACAGCAGTCTGAAGGACACACACTGCCTGAGATGTCGTCTCATCCCAACAGCCTGAAAAGAACAGCCATATTCAACAAACAGCAAGGTAGGAGAGATCCCTAACACAAGCAGCTGACTGCTTTCAGTCTTGCACACAGTAACATTACCAGGAATAAACACAAATGAAAGTTCCTTTTCCTTAATAAAAACGGAGAGGGAAAGTTCTGTGAAAGTGAACAACATGGTGAACTACGTTAACTAGTTTCTAAACTTAATGGACATATAGAGAACAGCCATCAGCCAGAAAAAGGGGCTAAGTTACAGTTAACCAGCGTTCAACAGCTACAGAAAGCCTTTCACATTTAAGAATAACAACACCTCACCTTTTCAACTGCAGTTCCCAGGACAACAAGTACTGTACGGTGAATGAGGAGTCAGAGTTGTATGAAGAAAACTCCTCTCTCCACCCTCTTATCCTTCTCTTACCCATCACTCCCCCACCCCCTTTTTTCTCCCACCCCCTCTACTTCCAGAGAAAAGGGAGGAGAAAACTGAGGAGTGTTTTTTAGAAGGACGTTTTCAACGCCCATTTCCTTTCTCCAGAAGCCCTCTCTGCCTTCCCCCCACCAACACACACACACACACTCTCTGAGTTCCTCAGCCAGGTCCAAATGTAAAACTGCAGCATGACTCAACTAGACCCGCCCAAGGTCTGCCACCACATGAAAAGGTCACATAAACATTCGTAGCAGCCCAGCTCGCTCAGCTTCCAGCCAGCAGAGGAGAAACATCTGCTGGGCAACTGCGTTCCTGAAGAGCAGGCTGTGTGGAGACGCGGCCCAGGCCTCTGGAAAAGAAGGGAGAGCAGAAAAGGAGAAAAGAGAAAGTCTAGTTTTTCTCTCTTCCTGCACCATTGCTGGGCTCCCTGGTTTTGTTGTGCATTATTTCTGTCAGGTTTCTACATTTTCTCTTGCTTTTTATGCCCCACCCACACCCTCCTCCTCCTCCATCATTTTTTTTATGTTCCTAAATTATACTCTCCCCATCTGGAGTTACCAAAATGACATTTCCGCCAACGCCCCTGTGCCACGTGGGGGAGAGCCCTACTGAAAAACCCTTTCGTCAGGCTGTGCCTTCATGGAGAGGCCTGTCTGACGGTCTACAGTGTCTTATAGGACAGTTATTGTTGCTAGGAGGGCCGGTGTGTCTTTCACACATCGCAGAAAAAAAATAAAATAATTGTTTACACTTACGTAGCGGTTTTCTGGACACTGCGCTCAAAGCGCTTTACAGATAATGAGGACTCCCCTCAACCACCACCAGTGTGCAGCCCCACCTGGATGATGCGACAGCAGCCATAGTGTCCCAGAA